CCCTGTGGACAGCCTCTTGGGGGCCTGATTCTTTTACCCCAATTGCCTTGGCTAAGTGGGGCCCGCTCCAGAGAATTCAAGGCTCCTGTCCAGCCCAGAGGATTCAAGGTCCTGAGAGTTGGTACATTTGCTGGTCTCAGGGGCCGTGACCTCAGGGCTGGGCCAGGAGTGTGGAGCAACCTCTGGCCTTGTGTGACCTTGGACAGGTGGCTTCTTAGCTCCGTGCAGCTGCTGGTCCTACCCACCTTGTAGGGCGAAGGGGGTGCTAGTGAGGTCCTGCATGTAAGTGGTGATGTGGGGCGCCCACCACCCACAGCCATGGTCAACCTCAGCTCTCTGGGCAACTGTGGCCATCCCTCTCCTGATGGCCTCAGTTTGGAGAGGAAGCTCTCCAGACTCAGAGAGATTCAGGGGCTCCCCCAAGTCGCACAGCTGGGTGCTCAGCACCTGGGTCTGCACTGAGTCCACCCCGGCTCTGGCTCCAGCTGCCAGGGGGCAAGAGACCACCAGCGGAAGCCCAAGAACCCTGAGACCTATGAGGACAAGCGGGGCCCGGCCTGACTGAGACTTTAACTGGGCGCCCTCTGCACAGACTTCCCCTCAAATCAGCCCTCCACCCTGGACAGGAAGCAACACACAGCCCCCATCCCAAGACAGGGCACTGAGGCTGGGCAGGGGGCTCCTGGCCAGCGAGGAGAGAGCCAGAGGCCCCCTCTCAACCCCCACCCAACTCCAGAGGCCTGGGGCGGGGATGATGCGGAAGAAGCCTGACCTGGTGGGGTCCACGCAACAGGGAGCTGCTGGCTGAGCACAGGGATGGAAAATCCTTACCCAGCACCAAAGCCTGGGAAGGCTTGGACGGTGGCAGCCACCTTGCTGCCCACTCCCGGAACTCTCCACCTCAGTTTGTCCAACCACCAGCCAGTGCCTGGTCCTGGTATAGTTCTGCCCACCAGGCAAGTCGGGGTGCAGTAAGGGGGAGCTGGAGGAGCCTAAAAGAGGAGCAGGGCTTGCTGGTGGAGGGGAGACTGGTACTCAGAGAAGGCTTCTGGGAAGGTAGGCTGGAGCCCCACACTGCTCCTCCAGTGCAGGTTGAGAAAAGCCATGGAATCCTGCATCCACTGGGGCAGGGGTGAGGGTCTGGGGTCTCCTCCCTGCAATCAGCTGCAGGCGGGGTGGGGGGAGAGGCAGCCCCGCACTGCCCACCCGCCAAAGTTTAAAGCACCTCTTGGGGCTGGGAGAGGGATGGGTCCCAGCATGATCACAAATCTGCTGTAAGTATGGGAATGCCTGTGTGTGTCCCCGCGCCTGGGGTCCCTCAGCAGCCCCTCCTCGTCCAGCCTCGCTGCCCCACCCCCAAGGCAGACTCATGCATTTCTCTCCGTTTTGAGGCTTCTGCAGATGTGTGCTGCTGGCAACAAAGTCGCTGCTTCCCTCTCCCTCGGGCACTGCTCCCTCGCTGTCTGCTGTCTGATGTGTGTGTGTGTGTGTGTGTCTAACTGCCATTCGTGGGTCCCCAGTCTGACGCTGGGTGGCTGTTTCCCTGGTCTGTGGGTGTCTGTTTGTCTGCCCGTGGGCGTGTCTGTCTGTCTTGCTGTGTGTGTCGTCCTTGACCCAGTCTATTTGAGCGTGTGTGTCTGGGGGGAGGGGGCCCTCCTTCCCGGCGCCTCTCCTCTCCCTTCCCCTCCGCAGGCGCTAACGCAGCACCACTGCCTTGGCTGCACCCCAAGAGCGCAGTGACCTCAACTCTCCCTGCAGCAGTGACCACCCCACCGCACCGCCTGCTGGGAGGGACCCATGGCGGGGCTCCCAGCCAGTGGTCCCTCCTCTCTAAACCTAGGAACATCTGAGTTCGGGGTGGACACGCTCCCTTCCGGGCTAGGTCCACTGGTTCCCCGTCTTTCCTTATGTAACTTCCACATCTGTCTGCGCCTTGCAGGTCACCCTGGACCCTGCGCTGGGCCCTGCCTATGGGGAGACTGAGACCCAGAGTCCCATGCATATGGGGGGTGGAGCAAACCCCTGGCCAGGGCACTGGCTATTGGAGACCCCCTCCCATCCGAGACCTGCTTGCCCGAAGCGTGCAACGAGGAGGGGGTCCAGCTGGGCAAGTTCCCCTGAGCTGGGTGCCCTACTCCAGGCTCCCGCAAGCGCCTGGGCTCCCGACGAGGGACGGCCAGAGGTCACTGGGGCCGAGGGCACGGGGCAGGCGGAACAGCCCAGAGACTGGCTCCTGTGTGTGCTGGCCGGCTGACCGCAGGCGAGGCCCCAGCTCTCGCGCCGCGGTGCACGCACGGGCTGGGGCTCCGGCGGCCCGGCGGGCACGCGGCGCTGTCCGTGGTGCTGCCGGC